TACGAATTCGCTCAACTGGAAGAAAGCCTATGGAGTGCCGTGCGAGAAGCTGCTGGAAGTGAATATATCAGCGACAAAGCGCAACTATCTGACGTGAACTTGCTCAAAGAGTTCCAGACATTTGGAGACCGCATTCACAAGGTATATCGCATCATTCCATAAAAAGTCCATCTCTGGATATACGGGAGAGCGCCACTTTTAGACGAACAGTTAGTGACTGTCTTCTATTTCAAGCTGTACCCGAACGATCTGACTGATGGTCTGGAGACGTTGGACTCAGTTTGGGTCTATCAGCTAGCCTTAGCTGATTTGCGTGGCATATTCGCTCTCTACGAATCGTTCCGAAGATTCCAGAAGCAGCAGACTGGCGCTGGACGCGTGGCTTCGCCCAAACAGGCCTGGCTAGATTTAACCGAATCGATTTTAAACGACCCGCAAAATGCCGTGGAAGAAGGACTAGCCAAAATCAACGAAATCAGACAGAACAATCTGTTTCAGTCGGTGGCTAAGGTAAATGGGAATCCRCRCGGKTTTAGAGATTTCWTCATATCAGATTTATGCATYGAAGCACTAGMAAGGTGGGGCGCATTTCAAACAGCCAAAAACATTTTAAAATGCCAACAAACTTGACTTCGCTTTAAATTTTCAACGAAAGTTTTGCACWATCACCCTCTGCCTGAGCTAACACGTCTATCTAGCAACAATTTAATTTAGGAAGTTGAAGGCGACATGATGTGCAACATCAAACAAAGCCCGCAACAAGTCCTTTACAGCCTTTACGAAGCCATTGCCCTCACAGAACTGAAGGGCCATGCAATGATTCAGTTTTCGTACATGCTACTCAGATTGTACGGCAAAGGTAAGAAAACATCAAATACAAGCGCCAAGTGAACATTTCTCATGCGAATTTAGGCAATTTCACCAAGGAATCGCAGCACAGCCGCGAGAGGTTCCAGGAAAGAACCAACAATGCGGTCGAATCAGTAAAAAGAGCCATGCAAAAGGTGTCGCGGGAATTGTGGAAATGTGACCCGAAAAAGCACGTGAAAGGTAACTGTTGAATTTTTCAGCAGTTTATCGGAAACCAGTGTTTTGTTTAGGGGAAACGTACGAAGAAATTACCAATCTGCTGCAAGGCTACGTGCAAAATGAAGTCGACTTGAATCCTGATGGAACGTGCAGCGAAAATTGTGCAGAATACACCTATACCAAGAGCCATGGATGTTATCAGAATCTCTACTGCAGGCAGCAGAGAAGCTGCAGCGGAAAAATTATCGACTGTCGATTCTTCGACTCGGACATGTGGATATGTAATGCTGTGAGTATGTCATTGCAAACTTTTGCCAACAGTTTCTGCGAGTTATTTAGGCCTCCGATAGAAAAGTCCACTTTCTATCGAAGTGAGGAAATGGAAGACTGATGATCTAAATCAGCCTGTAATAAAAATTGAGTTTGCACACGGACAATTTTTCGGTAAATTTCCAGAATCCCCTCAGTGGCAGACGTTACGAGTACATTGAGTACGAGAACGGAAGAGTCCTAGGAAGGAAGCAAGGCTGCGCAAGAGGAACCACCAAAGTGGACAGCTGGTGGCGATGGCTTTTCTGGCACTGTTCTTACTGCTTTTGTCTGTGCGACGAACAAGGCCCGATGTCCGATCGCTATTTCAACATGCGATCGGCCATTTCGGACATCCAAAACAACAAGTGAGCAACCGAATGAAAATCCCAGACAAAAACCGTCAGCTCGTCTTCAATTTTAGAATTATCACCGGACTGCGTTTCGTCAAAAAGAACCGCGTTATTCATCTGCAAATCCAGGAAGGCGAATTGTTACCGCGATTGGGCATCAATGCGAGTAGCGTGGCCTGGAAGCCGGTGGAAGACTACAAGATAACGGACAGGAAGATTTTCAATGGCCAAGACTATCATACGTTAACTTGGGAGAAACGCCGCATTGATCTGGACGACCTGGAGGCCGATGATGGGAATGTCCTAACAGGTCAGCAAAATCCCGCAGATCGCCCGATGTTTCATTTAAAAAACAACGTGAAATTTAGGGGTGCGCTTTAAGGAAATCGGGTCGCATTTGAACTTTGAGATCTACACGACGAGATTTAACTTCGAGACCGGCAAACTGACGCCCGAGTTGAGCAAATGGCTGGACAATCCAAACACCGATGTGTCCCAACCCAAACCCAGGTAAGAGCACATATTTACACAAGTGATACTGCGGTTTTTCATATCATCTTCTGATAAAGGAAATTGAAACTTTTAGTATGCGGGGATATTTCMAAACGTCCGTTCCGTAAGTAAATAATTAAAAAGCTTAAATGCACTTTTGAACAAATCACCAGCAGTTGAGATAGTCTGTAGTGTACATAGACATAGTGGTCGTCAATACTACAGGTTTATATAGSGATTGATTTTTAACGAACATTTCTAGGACAAAGATTCGCTTGAATCATCCGGACRTCCCAACCAGATCGGTCAATCCTTCTATTCCAACATCCCACTCAGACCAATACATCGAATTCACTCACACCGACATTGATAGGGATGCAGCTCAGACCACGGTGCCATATTTGGATGCTCAGAAAGTGAGTTTACAAAGCGATTAAGAATTTGTTGGGTGAATAACCGACCGTTTTCTAGCTGGAATCATTAGAACCGGTCCCATTGTCCGGCGCTGGCATATTCCATAAAGGACGTGACTTTTTCGGCGGTTTTCTAGCCCCCAAGATATTCACCTACGACGTTACCAAACATATGCAGGCTGCTTTTCCAACGGAAGGGGTCAATTGATAAAGTGTACCGGAAATAGTATTAAGACAAAGTATTACGATCAATTTAGAATTAGTGCGACTGTCTTTTAAGTTTGATTTGATAATCAGACAAAATCTAGGGTTTTTGTTATCGAAAGATATCCGAAGGATGGACACACATCTGTCGATAGTAAAAAGGTAGCAAATTACTTCAAGAACCCATGTTGAGGAGGGTCTTGCAACCGAAATCTTTCATTGTTCTATGTAATTGTGACTGAATTATTAAACGTAATGATAGAAAATACATTTGCGTTTTTATGCCTAAGCTAAAACCTGTATTAGCCATAACTAACTCGAAGCAAGTTGGAAAACTGCTCAAGTTTATACTATCAATCTAGAAGAAAATAATGTGCCAGATCGATTGTTCAGGAGAAAACGTGAACAGGATCTTGCTTTTTCGCATTAAACTGGAGAAACAGCCTTCCCAAAACAGGCAAACCCGTGATATGCCGATAGGATTATCAACGAAATGTGACCATAATAAACAATTGCTTCATGGCAAAGAAAACGAGTAAATTGGAACAAATACGTCGACTTTCAAGATGTGTTGAGAGACTATCTGGAGTCATCAATTTTCAATCTCAATATGCAAAATCTTCATGAACATTAAGCTTGAAATGGTAAACAAAGTGATTCTTCATCAATTTCATCATAATTTTCTTTAGTGCCGAGTACAATTCGCTAAACACCAACACAGATTGTACTGTTTCCGTTGGGGGCGATAAGAAATATTTAATACAGCATTACAGCTTGCCGGCAGTCCGCAGTCTCCTTTATTACAAACTGGAGCTTAATCCAGGACACTACGATGTGGCAATGGGGAATCTTAGGATATTTCGGGTTGTTCTTGTTGTGCTCGGCCAATCAAAGATTGCTCGTTGATCAACTGAGATGGGAATTTCTGGATCTCGAAAACGAATTGCGGCAATTCAGCAGGATCGGTT